AGTATCAATTTTGAGATAGGTTGTGACAATGCTACTCGTCAGTACGTGGTATAAATGGCTAAAATAATAGTAATAAAAATAATACCGATGTGACGAAAAAACATACTTCCCGCAGCACTATGCAGCAATCTCTGACCCAAAATCTCAAAGGTTTTCTCGTGGAAATCTAACTCAGGGAGATCTCTGTCCGTGCTGATCCAATACCGCATAAGTCTCGCTTTTGTTTGCTTAAGCCATACCAAAATGTTACGGTAAGTCTGGTACGGCGAAAATCAACTTGCATGAAAGTTGACTTGCTGTTAGGAAGTTGATTCAGCATGCTAATTACGATCAACGCGTTCATTATACATAGGAATCTTTGCTACATTATAAACAGAAAATTCCCATGTTGCGGCATCGTAATCCCACCGTATCGCACACCTACCAGAGTTTGCCCCAAGGTTTATTGTGACTAATAAAATAGTCTTTCCATTAACTTATCCCTATAAGCCAAAGTCTCAAACATTTTCATCAATGCTAACTTCCTACGGTTTGTCGGCATCTTTTATAGGACACTTTTAAAATCAAACGGTAAGGTTCGTCTCAATAGGAAGACAGTGAATCTAATGCTCTGTTTTGAAAAAAAATATCCTTTTCAAAGTTATTTCGATTGATGCTCAGCAATGGATCATGATGAAGTCACGTTTCCCTGAAGTTATAAATGATGCTATATACATTTCATTTTTCATTTCAGTAACTACACTTCTGAAGAGTGAGTAACTCTGCTTGAATTCATAATATAAGCCTCTTTCTTCTGTGAATTGGTGATTATCATCAACCTTTAGTCCTCATAATCACCATTATTCGGTGAGCAAAGAAAAGCCGTGCATGTAAATTAAGTAGTGTTAATTAGTGAGGGCTTAGACATTGCCATTTGCTCAAAAGCAAGGCGGTTGTAATAGAAAATTTTACAATAGTATCGCTGCGATACTTTCAAAGAGTGCGACATGGATTGTCACAAAAAAAACATGGCAGACAACACTACATAACTTATGCCTTAATTCAGAGGATGAGATCTAAAGTTTAATTTAGATCTAAAATAATATTACTCATTGTGGTGATAATAATTTTAGGTAATTTTCTTACAAATTGGCTCAAACTACCTGTTCCATGGACGTCTAATAACACTTTGAATAATTTAGCACGTCTGAGTCGACTTCCGTAAGGACTCCGAAACCAATTCCTCGCACGGGCGTACGCTCCTATTGAAGGCGAGGCACAGCAGGCCAGTTCTACTGCAGAGTTAGGTGTTCTTCTACGATTCGGACAGAGCATACGCAATTGATGGTTCAAAGTTTATACACTGGAGTAATTACGTACATACTGTTCCGTAAAGGCACCAGATGGGAAGCGTGTGCAATTTGATCTGAGCCTCATCAGGCACATGACTCATGAGCAGTGATGAAGTCGTGATACTTATTAATGGACCCACTCCACTGATCTTTATTGAATCGAACTTCATAATCTTATCAAGTATCATTGATGCTCATCTAATGGCTTCTCCTCAAGGAATTTGAGTAACCATTCTTTGGGGATTTTCTGTCCACTTATCACACTCTTGGCTGTCGTTTCGTTTAATATCGCGATTTTCTTAAGTTCAAAGAGTTCGTCGGCTGCTTTGATTGAATCAACCATAACTCCTTTGCTGCGATAGGAAAGTGGAAAGCTATAAACTTATATGAACCAAATATAAATTCCAGCCAACCTGGCATCTCTCACAACTGCGCTGTAGAACTCAAGATGATTTGCATCATCAAGAGGATGGCGGACACAAATATCATATGCTAATCCACAGCCAAGAACAACTTTGATGTTGTCTTCATCCAGCCGATCTTTGAGCACATTTCTAAAGCACAAAATACATTAAAGTGTTTTGAATACTTCTAGATAAACGAAAGGTAAAGAGTGTTAGAAGTGCAGCGTACTTTTTGTTGGATGACTTTATCAAAGGACTTGAGTTTTTGAAGTTAATCACAACTTTTTTATCTAGCAAATCTGAGAGATACTTAATTCTGTCCATTCTATTCGCATTTTTTTAGTATTAACTTTGATTTTTTTTTCAATCAAATTTCGCGTCACACTGCGTATGTATGTGAATAACTTACAAAGGATTTCTGCTATTATCGTAGAAAGCGGAATACGAACCAACGTAGGTTTTTTCTCCTTTTGTTGTAAAGAAAGCATCGTCAGGAAGGCGGAGTTTTTCATGTAGCTTTGCCCCATATGTTTCCTGGACGCAGTGGCGAGGATAGAGGGTCTGAAACAATCATAACTTCACGTCGACGACAAAGAAAACTAGCGATTTGGCAGAAACGGCAAAAAGATGACAAGATGTAACAGTTAAAGTTGTACAGAAGTCTAAATCGAAAATGTAACAAAAAGCTTTTTGAATCATGAAAGAAATAAAGAATTTGCACTGTCTGGTCTTTAACTTCATATGCAAGCGTTGAGCACAAACGGCCTGTTTAGAGGAAAACTCGCTGACTGTAATTGAAGCCACACAGTGGGAACTACGCTATTTAAGATGTTCGAGATATTAATTTGTTTAAGAAAACCAATTTTGAAATAGTATTTGTACTGTTTTTACCCCTTGCGTCAAGGCCTTACCAAATAAAAGTACCACATGTCAAAAAAAAT